ATTTTTCCCCCTTTTCCTAGGCAAAAAATCAGACTGGGAATAAGGAAGCATTTTTGGTTGTAAATAATATTTATGTTACTCACTTCACACATATTTACAGATAACCTGTACACTTATCTCAAAGGGGAATTGCAGTCATCTAAATGCTAATTTGTGTCTTATTTTTGGAAGAAGAAAAAAACAGGTGGAAAGGAAAGTTGATTCCAGATAAGAAGAAAATAAAGCAGCACACTGAAATGTGTGTGATTAAATAAAGGAGGGGGAAAGTTAATGTTCATGCATATCACGTTTCAGTTTTTGGGAAAACAAAAACAAAAAATACCTTCGTCTTCCCCACGATCATTACTGGTTATATCATCTGCGCTTTTCTTTGTGTTGGCTCCTGGGATCAGAGTGAGCAGGAGAATAAAGGGAAAAAAGAGAATTCAAAAACAGCAGGTTCCCAAAAATTTAAAGGAAAAAAAAAACTATCCAAAAAGTGGAAAAAGAAAAAAAAGTAACACAAAAAGTCAAAATTTGAATCTGAAAAAAAGGATGCAAATTGCACACTAACATAAATGCTAAAGACAACAAATCAGAAAAAAACTGGTAGGAAAAAATCAAATGTTGTGACAATGCAATTAATTTTATTTAAAATGATTGCTTATTTTGCATTCAAAATTGATAAGAAAAAAATACATTCTGTATACATGAATTCTTTGTAATTCACTTGACAGTCCAATTTTCAGTGCGCTATCATAGTACAATATTCATCAAGTAAGACTTTTTAATTAGCAAAGATTTTAAAAGATTGGGGATAAGTGGTGAAAAATGAATATGAAATTCTGTTTCAGATGCCTGCCTAAGTTGTGCCATTGTCTCTGTTCCCAAGTCATTATGGTTTGGATCCAAAGAACTACACAACTATTCTTTACACCAAGGAGAGATATACACTTTTGTGACATGGCAAATAGAAATTTGGGTCTGTTGCTGTTCAGAGTGGAAAAGTCAAAAATCCTACTGGGCATACCCAACATCTTGGACATGCCAAACGTAGCTCGTCTTCTGACAAAAATCACTGTAGTATTTGAAATGAATTTAATGTAATTATTATTAATACAAACAAAATAATTAACACAGATAACACACATGGAAAATATTGCGCAACACAGAGAAGTCAGGATACTTGTTTCACTGAATACACATTTCCACCATCAGCAACAATGAACTTAAAACATCTAATTTTAAACTGAGAATCATCTGAGTGTGAAAGATTCAGGCCTATGTGTGGATTACACATTCAGTTCCAGGCACATTATACCTGCCATAGTTATACACAACATTTTACTTACCATGAGAGCAAAAACAGAAGTAAGAAATAGTATTACAGCTCTTATTTAGAATCAAGAATTCCCCATAGATCTGGATATATCGAGACATAACATGCAGGAACTCTCGTAGGGCTAGGATCTTTGGGGAAAATCCATTTCCAGTCTTGAGTGACTATGAGGGGAGCCACAGGGGAAGAAAGTAGTACAGTATGTACAATCCCTCGCACAGATGGTGTTCTGTGCATGTGGGAAAAATTGATTCATATAAGCTTGGTGTGACATTTCTCTAAACTATGAGTGACATTATTCATTCTTTATAAGGCTCCCCCTTCTGTTGCTTATAATTTTGCCATGTTGAGTTTTCTCATTTAGTGGGATACGCACAGAGAGAGAGAGAGAGAGAGAGCAGCCAAAAAAAAGTTGTGTTGACATGGGTTGAACCAGATGGTACCATGAAAGCTAATGAGGTAAAACATCAGGGCCACAAATCCAAAGGATGTTTAGTTTACCATACATTAGGAGCAGACAATATTTCTCAGAGGAAGGGGTCATCCTCCCAACTGGACAATTTTCCAGGATCCATAAGCCAATGGCATATGGAGGCCAGAGACAAAAAATAGACAATAAATGCAATTTTTACTTTTATACACTAGGCTAGTTTCTATACATGCTCTCATATACCTCTCTACATCCAAGCAACAAAGAGACATTATCCAAGCTCAAGGAAACATTTCAGCCAGGCATAAACACTTGAGGCACAAAGCAGAGCTGAGAAGGTGTGTCACCTGGAGAAAGTCCCAAGGGCCACATAGAGAGTCCTGGAAGGTTGCATTTGACCCCTGGACCTCTCTGCTTTTCTGACTGTGGAAGGATGTTCCCTGGTAAATCACACCCACAAAGGCAATAAATATGGTAAATGTAGATGAAGAGAGTAGATGTAACTTCACCTGACTTTTAACACAACATGGTTCTCCCTGTGCAGCTTATATACACACCACAAGAAACATTTCCAGACTCTCTGTTGCATTTCTTTTACAGCATGATGACCTGTATTCATATGAAGACTTTTAGCCATATCCAGGGATACTGCTCATGGTTAATACCAACTTGCAAGTAGGCAGCAAGGCTGCAACCAGCCCCTGGTGTCCATTCATAGAATGTGAATGGCTAAAACGGGGTGAAGCCTTCACATGTTCAGCCTTGTATGTCATCTGGACACCTGAGTAATTGGGATTCCAGGTTTCATGGAAGGCTGCACATGCCCAAGCTGCTCCCTGCTTTTTAGATGTTTCCATTCTATGCACAGATACCACAGGCAAGGGCTACTTTGTGCAGTTCTACTTCCCATTTGTGTTTTGGTGTTAACTCAGATTACTGAAGGAACCATCTCACCCCCTTTATCCCTGTGTGGCAACTGTGCTGCTCAGATGGGGCTGTTGAGAATACCACATGCCCTAGAGGCATGCTCAGTTTGTACCAGAAACCAGACTTTTACTGCTGCAGCTCCAGCCCTTTGGGCTCCATTACCAGCTGACATTATGACGGTGGCTAACATCATTATGGTTTGGAACCTACTGAATATATTTTTTGTTTAAAAATGCATTCCTGGCTGGTACATAGTAGTGTGGATTGGGTCCTACTGAAATGGCAAAGTGTGGGCAAAGTACTGGCCAGCCCTTGAAGCCCATCACAACTGAGCTTTTGTCATTTTTGTTTTTGGATTCCATACAGTATTGGTGGACAAAGTTTCTGTCTTTGTGTTCCCACTTACTTAAGTGTACTTTGATACCCCATTTCAGCAGGACTTACTTCTAAGTAGACATGGTTCAGATAGCACTGTTGGCTTCCACAAATCCTGAACCTTGATGCAAGTCTCCTCCAGAAAGCTATCAAAATACATTTCAAAATGCACGTTTTGAGCGAAATATATGTTAGAAAATATGATTTGAATGTGAATTTTCATGTGGCTTTATTAAAACTACAGTTTAATAGAGAAAGAAGACAGAGCAGACTTATGAGTGCACACATCCGAAAGAGTTCCATTGACCTGGAATAGGCAGACTTGTCTATCCCTAACAAACTGCTAGTTGTCAGCCACTATTCATTTCCCACAATTTAATACATATCTCACTCCTTTGGTTTTTATCTCCTTTTTCTCACTACACTTCAGCAAAGTTCAGAATGGTTCTTTGTTCTTATGTGTTCGCTTAACTTTCTTCCTGCCTTTGTTTCCAGGTTCTTTTGAGTGTCTTATTTTCATTACCTCAACCTCCTCCTCTTTAATATTTTCACTTACATCACCCCAGGGTTTTCCACCTTGTGTCAGGATCCCCTGTGGTCCACAGTAATCTGCTATTGATGAGTCTAGCAGTAACTACTTCAGCACTTTTTTCCAGTGGTTTTGCTCATGAAAATGACGGATGGATTTGGCAGGGTACATTGTATAAAACTGGGGCTGTGCTGGCTGGGACTAGTGAGTAGTTGTAGTTCAAAACATTTGGAGGGCACCAAGCTAACAAAGGCTGCTGTAAAGTCTAGTTCATAGTAATATCAATTTGTGCAATCCTTTGCAAAGCAAGGTCCAGAAATGGGAAGTATTAAATAATTGTACCACAAAATTTCACAGTAATGTGTCTTTTTAGATCACAAAGAAAGAAAATCTTCCATTTACTTATACCCAAGGGTAATTAATTTTCATCAGTTTGAAAATCTTAGGTATTCCCTCTTTGCTCAGGTGCCTAGGTTTACAATTTCACTGTTGTGCTCAGTTCATTATGCTCAACATCCAGTCTACAAGCCAATATTGCAGGTTTCTCCTTTACTATTTAAAACACACTCTTCTATCCATAATCCTCTTGTCATGATCTGATTAGTTTTTATGTTAACTGCTGCAATTTCTCCCTGTGGATTCCACTTATCTTATTTTGAGTCTCTCTTCCATAAACATAATCTGCAGTGAAAAATCATTCTAGACTCAGCATGGAGAATATTTAAATGGGCCATAGCAGGAAGACAGAAAAACTGTATAACCCAGAATAAACAAGAAGGGCAAAAGTAGCACAGCTAAAAGTCTAGACTCAAGAGGCTACTCCAAAGTTAATTAAGAAGTGAAATACTTTATCTAAGTGAGTTCAGGCCACTTTTAATACATCAGAATAGACATACCAAGGTTCAAAAGGATGAGATGTGTCACTTCCAGTCTGATCTAATACACGGCAGTCCTATTGGGTTCAATGTACGAAGGGAGCATAGAATAACATGCTTAGGGTACTTTTTCACCACCAAGTTGCAATCACTTATGGTGAATAATTTAAACCACATTAAGATAAAAACCTGCCACAATCCAACACCCTACTGCAAGCCTGGCCCATTCCTAAAGAATAATTGCCACTATCCAGACCAGAGTATGCTACAAGTAGTTATCAGTTTAATGCAGGATACCCCAATTTTTGCCCTTATAGTCAGCTAACCATTAGGAAACACATAGAAGTCAGGAACATTCAAACTTGCCACCGTTTTGTACAATATTTTTCCTACACTTCACTGTTTATTATTCCTTTAATAACACAATCAAATAATGCATATATTTTAAAAGATCATCATTAAGGTCAAAAAGACAGGACAGAAGGAAATTCCCCAAGCTAAATTTTAAATATGAAACGTTGCTGTTTCTTTAAATCTCCAATGTATCACGACGCTTACATCATGCTGCGTTGGGTTACATCATGTCATGACCAGTGATGTAACCCGTCGCAATGCAATGCACACATCGCAGTTTGTCAGTGAGTTAAAGGAATAGCATACTTAGGTTGTTGTCAACATATCCAGTTGGTCATTCTGAGAACATAGTTTAATTACATTCTTAGTGAATCTCAAATTGCAAATTTGAATAGATGTACAAAAACACTCTTTTACCAAAATTTATGTTGTTAGTTGTAGAGTTCTAACAAGACTACAGCTGTGGTTCACTGGAAGATCGTCTGATTTACATGCAGAAGGGACTTGAAATCTCCAAGTTGGACTGGGAGAGACTACCAGCTGAAACCCTGAAGAGCCACTGCCAATCAGTGTAAGCAATAGTGAGATAAATGGGCCAATGCTCTGAATATCTGTTTGTATGTTTATTTAACTTGTACCCTGTTCTTCCTCCCAAAGGAGCAACAGGTGATAATACAAAAATGACATATTGAAAATCTATCAAAAATCACTCCACTACAGATACAAACTGGGAAAGATCTCAACTTAAAAGGCTTATTGGATGACAAATCTTCAGTAGACACAAAAAAGACCACAGAAACTAACTAACATTCAAGAGGGGGGAACTCCAAAGGGTAGGTGCCACACTAAATGCCCAGTTCCTACTTTGTGTGGAACAGACCTTCTGATAAGCTGGTATCCACAGAAGGCCCTTGTCTACAGTGATCGGTTGGGTCCCCAAACCAGCACCTTAAACTTAGCAGTGGCATAACATTTTTGCAATATCCCACTCCAATGGGTAGTTGAGTTGTTACATTTTATACCAGCTACAGCTTTTAGACCAATCTCAAGGGCAGCCCTATAGAGCACATAGAGCCTAAAGGTTACCAAACACATGGGCAACAGTGGTCATGCTATCCTGGTCCAGAGATGACTGTAGCTGTCTTAGCAGCCGAAGCTGGTAGATGGAACTCCTAGCCATTGAGGTCACCTGGGCTTCTAATGATAACGGTGGACCCAGGAGCCCCCAGACTACAAACCTCTTCTTTTGCCCCATCCAAATTAGGCAATTCACCAATTATCTGGATTTGGGAAATGTTCACCCACAGTGCTTTCATGTTGCCAAGATTCAGAGTTGGTTTATTGGCTCTCATCTAGCCCCAAACAGAGTTCAACCACCGGGCAAGGGTTTGCATTGCCTCTCCTGATTCAGAGGTTACAGAAGTAGAACTGGATATCATCATTGCACAGATGACACCATGCCACAGATATGATAATGAATGCTCCCATTACTTCCTATAGATGTTGAACAGCACTGGGGTTAAGATAGTACACTGTGGCACTTCACAGCACAGCTTTTAGCCAGGTGACTAAAAGACAATCACCCAGTGCTATTATGTGAAAATGACCCTGGAGATAGGATCAGAGCCATTGTGATTCAGTGCCCCCAATCCTGATCCCACTGTCAGCTCAGAAGGATCTCATCACTTTCTCAGCAACACTGGGGTTACTCTCAGCCTAACCTACATCACAAGATTGCTATGAGAATTTTTTTAAAAAATGGAATCATATACACCAATTTCCTTGGAAGAAAGATGGAGGGAAATGAAATTAAATAAAGGAATAAAAATGTTTTGGAACCACCACTTTAACAGTATTTTAAGGGTATTTTTCTCAATTTGAATTGACTTTATTATTGAGCTGAACATTATGTATGATTCCAATGATGTAACTTGTTCAAGTATGTCTAAATTCTGGAGGATCCAATTTTCAGGAGTGATAGCTTTCCCAGACCCACTTGAAGATGTCCAGTAAGCCTTTCCCACTGTGTAGGGCATACTTTTAATAAGATGAAAAGGTGTGTAGATGTGCCATAAGTTATACAGAACAAACCATCTATAAACTTTTCATGCAAAATGTCCTCTTTGCCTTTCCTGATGACACAGATGCTCCTCTTGAAGGAAATCTCAAAGCCACGCCCAGTGAGCTGTGGGACACTGAGCAAGTTGTCTGCAGCGCCTGGAACATATAGTACATCTTTGATGGTAGTGTGCAGACTTGCCAGTTTCACAGTCCCTTCTCCTGCAATTCGTAACGTCTTTCCATCAGCCAGGTGGATCTCACCTTCTTGAGGATTGAAGGAGATAAAGAGATGCCGGTCTTTCGACACATGGCGGGTGCAGCCCGAATCAATAATAAACCTGGCCTTAGCCTTTGGAGCAGCTTTTCTGGCAAGCAAAACCTTGTTTTCCACCGGCGTGGGCTTTTGCTGCTTGCCCCCCTGCTCCTGGCCATCAAACTTGCCTTTAGCCTTTGGTGAAGCCGTGCCAGCAAACAAAGCCTTGTTTTCCACTGGCGTGGGCTCTTCACCCCCCTTCTGCTTCGGGCCATCTGCAGGCATCTTGCTCTGTTTACCTCTGCCCTTCCGGCCTCTGCAAAGGCGATGACCTTGGTTCTCATGAGAAACAGAGTTCTCAGCTGCCGACTCCTTGGCTCCCCCTGGAGGCTGGAATGCTGCCTGGGATGACATCACTTTTTTTTTTTTAATAATATTTATTGAGATTTCAAAAAAATACAAAAATTACACAAAAACAAAAAATAGATCACAGTCAGCTCCCCCTGCAGCTTGCAACTGGTGCCCTCAGCATCCCTGCATTCACTCGCATTCTGGGAAACAGCCAGGACCTCCGATGCAATCAAACTCTGGGCTGGGATGACTGGCAGATGGGCTATCTTCAAAGCATTCCACATCTTACGTGCAGCCACGTTGCCAGCTAACGTTTTAATTTCCTCCAGAGAGACGGATAAGACTATTACCTCTATGGCCTTCGAATTTTCGGCCTTCCATATATCTGTCAGAGGAACTGGAGGGGCTTCAGACACAGTATGCCACACTCCAAACTGACGCAGCAAACTCTCACACCACACAGCCCAGGTCTCATAATTGTGCCAATTTAACTTTGGGCACTCAGCAGCTTCAGAAGCTTCAGAAGCGTGGAAAAACTCCATTCCAGCTTTTCACTTGAGCCGTGAGCCCTATTCACTTCAGAGACTCCTTATCTTTGCACCCATAAATCACGAAGCCTCTGGCGCAGCCCCCAGACCAATTAGGCCAGCCGGACATCAAAGAGACTCTGCCGCGGCAACGAAAAGCCTCACTTTCGCTTTTCCTCCACATACCTCTCAGCAGTCCGTCGCAGTCTTACTCTCCTGTAAGTGCTGTGAATCTGGGCCCATAACCTGTTGTTGGGATACTGCCAGGGAGACAAAGTCCATCATGGCCCCCAAGCCGGCTGCTGGACGATCCATCGATCTCCCGTAGTCACGCAGTATCAGCAATTAGCGACATGAGCTCCAGAAAATAGCCTGCCACATTCTAGAGCCGATGCACGCTCTCTATCAGCAGATAATGCACAGCAAAAGTTGCACGCAGGAGAGTATTATTTACAAGTTTTATTCAGCATTGATCAGAACAAAGAAAAACATGACTGCCTGCTTCAGTGCCTACGACACAGAGAGAGCGAAAACAAAAGACACAACAGAAACATCCTGTGGAAACAGGAAATACGCAGACTCTGACTCACAAAGCCTGCTCCCTTTTAAGGTGGAATGGAAATATCCTAACATAAAGGTCTAAATTGGAAAGAAGAATCAAATACATTGGTAGGATCAAATAATGGCCAGTCAGGCAGTAAGAGTGTGTTTGTCCATATCAAAGAAGGAATCCCACAAATCCTATAGAAATTCACTTCCACAAGGCCCGTGTGTCTTGTAATCAGTTCGGCACAACCCTTGCAAATAAGGTGTTACATTAGGCAAGGTTTCCATATGTAGTCTTTTAGCATATGCATCAGCTGATTAATGCCAAGAATGCACTCTGAGACACATATTTTTCCAAAGTACCCCAATGGAGTCAAAAACAGACACAACTACCCAAGAATGAAAAAAAAAGCAAATTCAGCAAGGTCACAATAGCTGACAGTTTCCTACTAAAGATTCTCAGAAGTATGTGGAGCTACCAGGGGGATTGCAGGTTTGTGTGAACTGCCGCCATGCTGTGGAGACTCTCTGTAGAGACCATTGCTAATTGCTTGGGCATGGCACCTTGGAAAAGTTCTACTACAATCTGCCGTGATGTTTTGATCATTAAAACGAAGGAATTTATTCAGAAGTATTAAAGTGTACCTTAAAAATAGCAAGAGCACCAGAGGGATTCATTATTGCAAATGGCTACTTGTGTATTCATATACACCACCACTCCAATATTGCATATTCATTTGTTATCGTCACAGAATGGCATAAAGCAATTTCACTGGAAAGATGGAATAATGAACGTTCCCTAGGGAATTCATTCTTGAATCAAGTCCCCCCTCCCTCTCTTTTCACAGTTCTATTTATCTCAGTGGAACTACTAGTGGAAAAGAAGCAGAAAACGGCAGGTTTTAAAGTTTTTTGTTTTTTAAAAATGTCATTAGAATGAATTAAATAATCAATGCATAAGTCATCAGTCAAAATAAATACACACTCATTAAGTACCAAAAGGATGTTGTGTCTTAATCAAACGTCTAGCAGTTCTGTAAGAACCCAATGCAGTTGCAGTGAATCATATTGAAAATATGGGAAGCAGGTACTCCATTACTTTCCTTCATCTGTCTAACATGAATATCCATTCCCTTCCCAATTCATTTTTAACTATGGTCAACATGCCCACTAATATTCTATTCATGATTTGCTTTAAATCATAAGATGGGACAAGCATTAGAAGATGGTTCACAAAATTTTGCTGCAGAAGGAAATGCATGAGGGAAGGGAATGCAAGCCTTTAGAGCAATTGCAGGGTCCTGACATTAAAATTACTTGCAGAAAGTCCAGTTTCATTCTTTACCACTCAAAATGTGCGCTGATGAATCTAGAAAAGCAGGAGCCTATTGTCTATGGCTAGCCTGTTCCAAATGTTAGGAAACCAGCTATGCAAAATTCATGGCGCACCCTGACTTCATAATCATCTCCCTCAGCCAAATAGATGGCTTAGAACCTTGTTGAGCTTAGAATTCCAGCATGCTTGGACTGTATACATC